ACACACACACACACACACACACACACACACAAACACACACACCACGGCTCGCACTCTTGTGTATTAGTACCCTGCTAAATTATTACTCAAGTAGAATATTTTAAGTGCGGACATATCTGAAGTAAAAAGCTGTTTCTGAAGAGCCTGGGTGAAGTTTCACATGCTGGTCCTACGCCTTGAAATAATTGATCTGATCTGCATGAAGGACAATGAACAAACTGAATCCTGAGTCTAAGGAGGCGATTTTATCAAATCCTTGATTCTACTTTCAGAATAATATGGAGAAACGCCTCAACACAGGATCTCGTGAAGATGCTGCCTCAATGTCAATGTGTGTCTTTTGGGTTTAACACTGAAGGAATAACAGCGGAGGAGAGAAACTCTACCGCTTCCTGCAACCTTGAGGTTTGCTTGCACAGAATTACCCTTCTCTCAGGATGAACCTTCCCCGTTCATCTTTGTTCTGCCTCCGCGTGACATTGTGAACTTCTCTCACGTGAACTATCTCTCACATATTGTTGTGGTGTTGCTGGCAGAGTGGACGTGAACCCCGTTTTCCAATTTAGCCTGAAAATTACCTGGACGGCCTTCTGAGACTGGATGTCAACTATGAGCACTCGATTCAAGGTTGGCTGTGTCACATAAATAAACTTGTCCTTGACGTTGACCGCTGATGACCACACACACCTCTGGACCGCCTCCCCCGGTGAGGTAGGGCACACCTCCTCCTGGAAAAAGCAAAAAACAAAACAAAACACACAAACACACCGTCAATTAATCGTTTTCTCATATCACGAGGAAATACGGCTCGTTAAAAAACAATTATCTCCATCCAGCCATTATTCTGTGTTGTTTACTACTCGCCGTCTTATCACATCTTGGCTACTTGGATAAATTAGATTTTGCGAGTTCCTGCAAAAACCCCTGTAATCGCTCCCATTTGTCCACTTGCGTTCTCCCCACGAACAAAACCCAGCGGACGACCTGCGGATGTTCAGCCTCCAGTCTCCCGGCCGATGGGAGCCTTAACCGGCCTCCTGTCTCTGGAGTCGTCCTCCCCTTTGCCCCCTCCCCGGCCCTGCGAGCCTACAGGGCTGCATTAGTGTGGGATGATTTAAGGAGCCGCTGGCCAGGCAAGGATGAATGAAGGGCTCCGGCGTGTCGGGGAGGAACTCTCTCCCTTACTGTATTTACAACCGCCGAGGCGTCCGCTGACAGGTACCTTCCCACAAGCCAATGTCTTTTAGTTAGAAGGACATTAGATAATGTATGAACTTCACTGAAGTATGTAAACGATCGGAGGTGGGAGAATTTATACTCGCTGCAGTTCCCCCCCGACTCCTCCTCCCTCCTTTGTTTTCTCTCCGGGGGCGAGTTAAACCGGCTAATTTGGGCATTTTAAAACAATGACAGCTCTTTGGCGCTTTTTGGCCTCGTGGCACGTTTTGTAATCGGCAGCATCTTTCAGGGTCCAGTTGGAGCACCATCTGTCAGTGGGTTCCATCCAAAGCAGGTTGGAGGAGTCCGTCACCAAAGCCAGAAATCCTCTGCACTCCGCTGAAGTAATCATCGCTGGTATTGAACTGTGTGAATCCCCTGCAGACCCACACTGTGGTCATTTTGTGTTATGTGGCTGTAAAACCGTACTTATTGCTCCTTTAAAGAGGCGAGAAATCGAACATCTTGCGCCCAGCTGAGGTGTGAATGGAGTTGGTCGTAATCCTCCTCGTGTTGCATATGTCTGTATGTGTGCGGTCGCATAGTATTTATGTAATTTACAGAGTATTTGAAGGCTTCTAACGAGTGCAGATATGTTTTCCCCTTTGTTATTGATATTCCTACACTCTCCTGATAATGGACCCGTGTGATGTTTCTTTCATTGATCCACTAAAATCCTTAAAAGAGCATTTTATAAGGATTTTGCAGCTGAGCGGTGACATTTAAACTGTCCTGCTGAGAAATATGAGTCTTCTGATATTCCCCGGTTTAGCCACTGGATGATTTGTGGCGTTAATATATTTGTGACACAACATCAGCCATCTGTGGGGAGGAAACTGCAGAAAGCAGCGGAGCAGCAACATCCAAAGTGTCACAAAGAGAAATTTTAAAGCAAAGTAGCAGCACACAACACTTCTGTTCCCTCAAGGTGTTTCTCCAAGGTCTCAATCCAAACCGCTATAAACTGGCTGTGTGGTGCAGCGGAGAATATTCGTCTCGCTGTTGTTTTTTCTAAGGTTTGACGGGTCAGTTAGTCGAAGAATGATTTTTGGAATTATTCGGTCTCTGTATAGCATGAGGTCGTTCTTCTGTACACTGGAGACACTAAAATGTCATTGATCAAAAACAAAAGTCCGTCTCTGTCTGTAGCCGCGACCTCACTGATGCCGTAGACAGGATGGGACATCTGCATCACACATTTTTCTTTTGCAACTGACAATATCAAACTCTGACTCCATTTATCCCTGACATTGAAATATGTCTGGTGTCCGCATTCTTTGCAGATTTGATTTTTACTTGAAAACATTTACACCTGGTATGAAAATGTGTTTCCAAAGTCAAAATTGAGAACCGATCGCTGCGATCATTTCACATCCTCTTCTTGTTCAGGTCCAAAAACTAATACACAACAAATGGAAAGAAGAGGAGGGAAGCCACTGATGAACATGCGTTAATTGTGCGTTTGGGTTTCGTCTTCCATCGATCAGGAGTGTAGACGAGTAGCTGCCTTCATAATTTGCAGATTTTCACTTTTTTCAAATACATTTTCCTGCTTGCATCCAACAGCTGTGACTGAGAGTGAAACAGTGAGAGAAACTGCATTAAGCTGTTGATTTCCGTTCCGTCAGGGACTCGACAGGATTTAACAGATTCTCCTCTGCTGCAGAGGGACGTCGAATAAAAATACTTCCTTAATTGGCTTTTCTGCATTTGGACACTGGAATGTTTTCCCTGAAAGTGTGTGTATCACGGTAAAACACTCTGTAAGGTAGTTAAGGATAATGGATCGGCTGTGCCATTACCATAAACAAATCAATCAACGCTCCCTGGTGATGGAGAAAACTTGAGCGCCACGCTGGGAGCGGCCTTGCGTTCTCGCAGCAATCCCCCAAGACAGCACTGGAGCTGGCATCACAGCCCTCGCGGTGATTGATACCCTAATACAAACACACCTCTCCGAGGAACGCTTGGCTGATTGTTGTGCATTCGCGGCACTGCATTATGTATAACAGCCATCCAATCAGTGCGCGGCTCGTGGATGAAAAGCAGCTCGGAGGCAACCTGTCCTTTGGAGAACACATGTAAATCTGCCGGGTATCTATCAACGAGGCGCTTTGAATATTTTGCTGCTTGAGAGCCTCAGTGATAAACGGTGATTCAGCGAGGGAGGCTGCAGTAAAGACTCCACAGAGAGGTGAAACCCCCCACTGACTGCATGTGGTCCGTCCATGAACCAAACTCAAGAGACTGGCTAGAAGTGTGTTCATGTGTTCACCCTATAAATGTTCGAATGGCTCTTAGTCGAGTGCACAGCTCCGACAAGGCCCAGGAATTATAGGTGGAAAATAAACGTAGGGCAGGAAAAGTAAAATATTTGTTTGTAGAGCACTAACCTCCAACAAGGCCCCTCTTATGAAACCACATCTGCTTCCAGATTTTATTTTGGATATGCACCACAATCATAAATATCAGCCCCTTAAACATACCAGAATTATCCTGTTGCATGATTTTCTAGATCTCTATCCCTGATCTGGATCCACTCAAAGTTAATTGGGTTCTTGGCCCACCCCTCCACAAAATGTGATGGAAATCGGTTCAGTACTTCTTGCAGATTCCTGCTAACAGAAAAAAAAAAAAGACTCGAGTGGCACACAGGAGATCCTTCCTCCGAGGCCCAACAATCCTGCACATCTTCTTTTTTTTCTGACTAGCTGACAAAAATGTTGAAAAATCGGAGAAACGGAAGAAAAGAAAGTTGAAAAACTTTCCTGGATGTTTGAATTTTGGTGCAAATTGGTTGAGAACGTTGCGCGTTACCCTGCCGACAAACACAGACGATGCGAGTTGCATTGTTTACGATACAGCATCACAATTAGATGAAAATCTGGTGTCAGTCCGATGTGGGTTTGATGTTCAGCAGCTTTCACGACTCAAAGTTCCATCAAAAATAACGTGAGAAGTCTGAGGCATGAACAGAAGAAACATACTTACCTACTGCAAAGCTCATGATTTGTAATAAACCGAGAAAAACATTTAATTGTTTCACTTAGTTCTTTAGTTCATTATTACATGAATCCCCGAGTTTAAATTTGCTGCTTCACCGGTTCTGAGCCTGTGACTCGTTTGCATAACAATTGAAAATTGTAACAAACCAAACTGACTCTGAAATAATTAAGACTGACGACCGAAACCGAAAATTAAAGCCAGGGAGACTGATGTGTTCCTCTGCTGATGATGGTTTTCAAAGGAAACGGTCAAGTTTTGGGGGAAATGCCGCAGCTTCACACATTCGCCTCCACAAGTCCAGAGAAAATGATGATCTACAGCAACAATAAAGCTCAAATGCTCATTTTCACACAGGATAAAAAAAGCAGTTTCTTCTTCCTGAGCACTCACCTGCAGAGCCAGCAGCTTCTCACTGGGCTTAATGTGTCGTTGTATCTCACACGCCACCGGCTGAATGACTTTTATACCATCTTCATAGAACACATAGAACATGTTGCCGATGCCGAGACCTGCAGGAGACAGAGGGAGAGAAAAGGCTCCGTCACACACCTGAAAGAGCTTATGCCTCCGCACGGTGTGAATGTTTGCAACGGAAATAAGCCTACAACAGTGTTATCTACTTCCCAAGCATCAAATTATTTAATCCCTCTCATCACAGTTCACCAACCCTATCGCAAAAAATTCAATTAACTCTGTATAATGAATGCTAGAGTGGAGCAGAAGCCGCAGAGAGACGTACCTTCTTCTCGCCACAAAATGTTTGCCACTGTGAGGGAGAGAGAGAGAGAGAGAGGAAAAGCAAGGATGAAAATTAATGCAAGAATCAATAGTGTCCCCTTTGTGAGAGCTAACAACCAAACACTAACTCGTATCTGGGCCGAGAGGAAAGCAGGCCGCATGAAAGTTTTATGGAAACTGTCTCTCTGACACCTATGGCAACAGACAATCGATGGAGCGCTCTGCCTGGAAATAATTTGATACCAAACACTGGAAAATGGAGCGCAGTCAACAAACTACAAGCGCTGTAAAACGCCTCATGATTATTGGATGCGGAAACGCTGAAGCTGTGAGATGAGACAAAAAAAAATAGACAAAACAACCGAAGACATCAGATCATCGCCCCTTCCTCCAATATGAAGAGTTCTACGGATCAGCCGTCCTCAGGTTTCAGGCTCGGATGATTATCATACATCAGTAGCAGGGATTAGTGCGCAGCTCCTTCAGGTTCGCTCCTGTAATGGGTAATTTCTCGTTAAATTCACTTAGAGGTGACTAATGACGTGAGATGTGGAGGGAAAGCCACACAACACCAGGAGTGCTTTAATGGGCGACCTGAAACACAGACCTGCTGGCTTTCAGAGCACTCAGGGAATAAGAGAGACCTTTTTAAACGACTAAATCTCAAACCGAGCAGTTTACAGATGGGTCCAGACGTGTGGGAACCTCTGGGGGAATGACATGTTGACTTTCAAAGTAATAAAATACAAAAACAAGACACAGACACTGAAGGAGACGCATTTTATTTTTATGAATGTAAAAGGTTAAAAAGCCCGAAGTCTCACAGAAAACTCTGTTTCGGACTTTTCTCTGACTCTGACGCTTGTCTGCTGTCAAGTCACTTCAACATCTTACAGCAGATAAAGTCCAACTCAAGTACTGTATGATTGTGTAAAATATAACAGTATATATAACGCAGCACTGGTATATGAGTGTGTACAGCCAGAGATGTGCTGCCTGAAAGGGAATTTCCGTGAAACTGGGGCTGAAAGTCGTCCTTAAGAATGTGTAGTTGTGTTGGAAGTGGAAGTGAAGATGTTGTGTAACATGAAAAAAGCAGGAAACTTGAAACTTGCAAGTGAAAAATGCGACTTGTATGAGTTGTAATATTAATGTGACGGCCAAATACTTACTTACACTAGAAAATCATCTTTCTTTCAAGCGTTGGTTATTATTAAATCTAATATCGGATAGATTTATTTCCATACATTGTTATTTGAGCTTCCTCTCTGTTAACAGCTAACGACCTTGATTGTTATCAATTA